TTATTGTTACGGGTGTCGTCTCGCCCTCTGATAGTAAATCGTATTATATGGCATAAAAGTATGGGGCTTACTGCAGCACAATAATAGGTAATTTACCACGCCGCGACGCGAACGGCTACGGTAAGAATTGTATATTTGGATGTACGGAATATTAATGTAACACGGACGTCGATAACTGATCGAACACCTACGCGCGCATTTAGATGGAACCGGATACTAGGGGCACAATGCGCGGGGTTACCGTCAGACTTTTCGAGAACATGTTTTTGACGAAAAACGCGGACTAAGCAAATCCAGCCGGAGAGGGCGGGTCCAGGGTATACACATACCGGCCGCCGAAAACATCTTTTCAGACGAGTCTCACCGCTGTTATCTACGATAGCACCTTCACGCCAGATAATTTGCACTTTGATAACTTTGAATATTTTCAACAACAAGTAAAAATTACCGCGTACAATATTGCCGATTTCGGTGGTTAGTATACCTGAACTTAAGGTTCGGAAATACGCCCGCAACGATGTATAAAAAGTTACAAGCGTCGTTAGTTACAGTAGTATGGAATCCACCGAAAATATTATTACTGTTCATTAACACGACCGCGGAAAATCATAATTATTTCTAATTGTTCAAATTAAAACGTTATTCCTTTTGGTATCGCAATACTCCAAGGATTTTGGCCGTCACCGAATACATCCTATACCACTAGCCATTGTGAATACTCTCTTTTACCAATTCATTGTACCTAATTTTCCCAGTGTTTGGTTTATTTCTCTTTCGTTTATTTTTGAACATCCCGTTTCCAGTCGGTTGCCACTCAACTGCCGCTTTTAGGTTTGCTGATTTCGGTTTTCTTATCACGTGTCATAATTGACTATGATGCCTTCACAGAATTCACAATCTCTTTATTTTTCCTACTTCTTCTCCGTCCTGGATTGTAAATTTATTTGTGAATTTAATAATTCATGGTCTACGTGTTTACGTTTAAAACACTTTAATCGCACTCGGTTGTTTTTGTAAGAAAAATAAAAACGACAACTATTAAATGTTCGATAGATGACATTTTGCTAATTATTTTCGTACTTAAAAGTAGTCGATACATTTGAATCGTCATTAATTAGATGAACATTAAATGAAATTTAACTTCGAAATGGCATTTCGATTGTCGAAATTATCAATATTACAGATATGAGAAAATATTTTTTCCGGACTATTGGAAACAACATTAATATTAATGTTATTATGTCACATTAACACGGACAAAAGGTGGGGTGATATGGGTCCCTCGTTTCCACCTCTAAATACGTCACTGGGTATTCGTATACAATATGCTTATATATATAATATGTATAATATATTACTTATGCTTTAATGTGGTCCGTTTAATCTAAATATTTAATTCGTTAGATATTTTGTTGTTTATTTTCGATTTCCGTTTTCCGCGTGAACGCGTCGAATCATCGAATTTCCCGTACCTACCTATATTAAATGATACACTGTAAAATATGAAAAACTCACCATAAAAAAAAACAAAAAAACACGTAGTCGACGGTATTTATTTTATTTTATTTTGTTTACAATAATATCTATGTACTTTGAGAATCTCGTCGCAATTGGTACGCGCATGGACTTCTCTTTTCCCCTACGATAATTCCGTTTACTCTGTCTCGTTTCAATAAAAAATGGATAATAGCATGCTGTGTTACTAGTGTAAAAATACGTTTGCTGTCGTAGTTTTTATTATTGTCTTGATATTTTAAAAATGTATTACCTATACGGTTATATTATAGCACTATCACTTTCGATTATCTCAACTATACGATCGCACCATATAAATAATAAAACAATGGATGAAACATGAAGGTTTATCAATGAAGACGTAATAATGAAATTGTGTCTGTATACTTCATATAGGTAAATTAATTTGTCACAGTGGCTGTCAATAGTATAAAACGAAATGAAAATGCTGTTATAAAAATTGTTCACGGATAAATAAAAAAAGACTTTTTAGGATAATTGGTTGGATGCAGCCACTGTTATAGGTAATTTAATGTATATTTGTAAGCAAAGATAAACCATTGCTAACGAAAAATCGATTCTGAGCGCAGTTCAATTCAGTTTTGTCAACAATTTATATGTTTTAAAATAATTAAATAGACTTTATATATTTTCTTGAATAATTCTCGTTCAATGTTGTACCGAATTTCCCAGTTTTTCTACGTTTTTCCCGGTTTTCCCATGTTTTCCTGGTTTTTCACATTTTAAGGGAAAACTCTTAGGAAAATCGAAAAATGTCTACCTTAAAATACTTTTCCACGCTGATTTACTTTCAGAAAAGGTGCCATACATAAAATCTGAGCAAGTCTTCCGGTAGAAGAATTGCGCACAGATAAAAAAAAATATAATTAACATCTTAGTAAAACTACAAGCTTCTTTGGTCCACTCAGAATCAAAACTAAAAAATTTATTATAAAAAATACTACTATCCTCACATATTTTGATTAGGTATATGCTCGTTTAGATACAAATTTATGGAACGAGTATAATAAGGGTTATATAATATCAGCGGAAAAACGGTTTTTCTAGTTCTTGGTTTAGATTAACATTTCCAAATTTAGGATTACGAATGGTTACAAATCAGTTACTAAAGTATGGAACCAATTTAAAAGAAAATTGTTTCAGTTGTGGTGCTAGAGTAACTTACCTATGCATTTGCGCTACAGTTAAGATTTTAATTTTTTTTTTAGTTTGGGAAACTTAAAATGAAAAATTAAAATTTTACTATAAATTTAAAAAAAAACTTTAAAATTTTGTAAAAGAGATTTTTAGACAATTTTGTTTGGTTGAAACCTTTTTTTGAGTATGATCTTTTATTTTTTTAAATGTGTTAAAGGTTTTGCAAACATTATTGTAGTTCATAATCCTTTGTAGTATTTAATCAAGAGTCACAATACATCGAAAGGGTCTACATCATACATACTGAAATAATCTTTCTAGTTGAAACAGTGTTCACACAAAAAAAAAAAAAAAATAAAAGAAATAAACATCTTTGTAAAACCAATACATTCAGAATACACTTAGAATCTAAAATATTTATCAAACGATACACAATGTTTGACATTTTTTTATTGTTTACTGCTTATTTATACCATTTTCATTGTCTGTTCTTGTAGCTTATTTTATTACTTATTATTAGTGCGTATTATTATAAATCCGTGTTCTAACGAAAATATGAATATTACATTATAAAATACTCGAATTACTCGAATACTCAAAACTAAATTTTTAACGGATATTGTAGTATTAATAATAAAATAATCTATACTAATTTATTTTCAATTTTTTTCGAAATGTGAGACTAGATTAAATAAATGTTTTGTAAAATAGTATGAGAATAAGTACAATAATATATTGTAGTACAATATTATGCACTCAAATCCGAGACCCCTGCAGGTGTCCCTCAAGGAGGTCACCTTAGTCCTCTTCTATTTATTCTATTTGTTAACTCGGTTACTGAATGGATCACAAAGGCTAAACTTCTTCTCTTTGCAGATGGTATACAAATTTTCCTCAAAATCGATAATCTTAATCAATATCCTGAACTACAATCCGAACTCGATATTTTTGCAAATTGAGCGCATGATATTAGCCTTAGTCTTAGCTTTAGTAAAAATAAATGTCATATTATGACTTTTTCTAGAAAGCGATCTCCTATTTACCATAACTATTCTTTTAATGGCACCAATATTGACCGTGTTTTTTCCCATCAAGATCTTGGTATACATTTACTCTATCTTTAAACTTTGAACATCACATAAATGTAACCGTAGGTAAAGCATTAAAAGTCTCGGGTTTTATTATGCGCAACACCACTCAGTTTTCTTTTGCTCGTTGCCTCCGGACAGTGCGCTTCGCGTTAGTACGTTCAATATTAGATACGGGGTTGTAGTATGAAATCCTTACTTGACCAAAGATGAATTAAAACTCGAGCGTGTCCAAAATAGGATTTTACTATTTACTATTACCATTACTTTCATCCCGCCGAAAAGACATTGATGTGCAATTTATTTCTTCACTCTTAAGAGACACCTCAGATGCTTCTGATCTCCTATTAAACGTAAATTTTCGTATCCCTTTCTTCTTCTTCAAACATCACTAACTTTTCCTAGTACCAGCTCAAAGTACACCCTACGGTAATAACCAGCCCTTAAATATAATGTTTCGTAATTTAAATAGCCCGTATTTTGATTTCGATCATAAGTAATTAAATGTACGACTAGTTGTAGTGTTTTTATATTTAGTTTAATTTTTATTTATTATTTTTTTTTTTTTTTTAGGGTGGTAATATATCACCATCTAATTTGTATTTTGTTGTCTATGCATTATTTTCGCTGTTTCTGTGTATTATTAGTATTATATTTTAAATAACTGTTATTTGTAAACCAAATCCAAAATGTTATCATAAAATTGCCGACTGGCGTATATAAATAAATAAATAAATTGGACTAAGAAAATACGAAATACCAATCTTTTTGTTAGAAATCTTTGTTTGAATAAAACCGACCGCAACGCGTTATTTTTTCCGAATGGATAGGTTGGAATATTATCCCACACACAAAAATCGTATCAGGAGTACTCGGATCGAGTAGGTATATGATTTTGCTAACGGTGAGTATGTTTTTTGGCACAGGTTAAAGTCAATGGGGCAATAAAGTTTACTGCAGTGTAAATGTTTTTTTTATGTATATATATCCATGCCCTATATATTTTACTTAAAATAATCCCTTTGTAAATTTGTTGTTATATGAATACGAGTGTGTATAGGTATTGAAATATATTATTATATTAGTTTAAAATTGATTTTGAATAACAAAACGTTTCATTAAAACCCATCAAAATTTGTTTTTCTCAATACTTTCCGTTTAATGAAATCGTAATGTAAATATCACAAGAATATATAAAATATTATTGGTAAGTTAAGCTAAAAATGTTCAAGAAAATAATAACTTAGCGTCAGGTACACAGTATAATAACTATTAAGTCTTTTTGTGAGTGTCTGCGAGTAAAATACATTTCTACCAAAATCTGGGTTCACATGAAAACTTGGACGGTTCAAATCTGGAATATAAACTTTTGACATCCGTAAAACTTTAAACAGTGAAAATGTAGATAGTACAAAAGTGAAATACAAAATGTAGAAAACTGTAAAAATCTGGACGATATAAATTTAGAATTTAATATTTAAAAAAAGTGCTGATATTCCAAAAAACTTCGTTAACGAAAAAACGATTCAGAGCGAAGTTCGGTAAAACATATCTCGAAATGCCATAACTTTCATGGTTTTTGTCAAACTTTTGTTTTTCAATGCTTATAAAAACAAAAATTAAAATACAAAAGTCAAATTTTACAATTTTTTTTTTTTTAGATAGGTCGATTAAACCTTATACCACAGGTTCTACGACTCAGGCCTTACCCAATTAGCCACGAGAAAACAACTAGGTATTTAAGGCGTATTTATATAGCGTAATCACGATAAATTTCAAACTTCCATAACTTTCTTAATAATAGTTTCCGCGAAAAATGACCTGTAAGTACAACTTATAAAGAACCTTGTGTTAAATGTTCAAGTATTTCTCCGTCATGCAATTTTATATTTCAGATTTGTACCGTCTAGATTTTTAAGAATTTCAAAATTTTATATTCCAGATTTATACCGTCCAAGTTTTTACGCGCTCCACAAAATCTTGATCCAATCAAAAACTTTATAGTACCTCTCCTGTAGCATTTTTTTTTACTTGGTATATTAAGCAAGTTTTTTTTTTTTTGATATACCTGTATTTAGTGGTTTTACAAATAGTTTTTTTGACATAGTTTTGTAAAATTTGTTAAAATCGATTTACGAGATTTTACTGGGTAGCCAACCCAAATTAAGTTAAAAATACATTTATTGACGTACGTAGTATTAGGCAACTTCAAGTATATAGGTACAACATGGAAGTATGTTTGAGTAACTTAATTAACTAAGGCGAAAAATATAGGCACCTACACAGATTTTAAAACAATTCATAAACAATTTTTAAAGAAAAACTTAAATTTGTATAAAATAATTTATGGGTATTATAGCTTTACTTTTTAACCTTTTACTGGATACTGCCCAGCGGTTTTTCATATCGTACAAAACACACATGCATAATATTATATTTAATGAAGAGAAATAACAATTTGTCGGTGGCTGCGAGAGTGTTAAACTATCCCAACGTATGGAAGAGAGAGTATACACTCACTCGATGTTTCAATGTGAAAAATAGTGAAACATCTCTGCGTATGTGTCCGTTCAAAATAAAAATTTAATCGTTTCATAAATCTTTTCCGTTTCGTAACGTTATTTTATTAGGTTAATAATACTATTCTGTCTTGCCCTATAAATTCCAACCAACAGACCATTGGGCAGCACACCGATGAGATAAGACAATGCTTAATGTAGTATAATATAGTATATATTATATGACCACCGAATAAAATCTATTTTAAATTCTGAGCGGAGAGAGCATCAAATGTATTGGTTTTATAACGATTCTGATTTAAAAGTTTCTGTGGAAAACTTTTCTACCGGTAATTTTACTTCGATTTAAAATAATAGAATTTTTTCTGAAAGGGAATCTAATAGTGGTAGTTCTTTATGGAAGTCATTTTTTGATTCTTCCATGAGTTTTCCCAATAAATGAGGAAAACCGGGAAAATGGGTACAATATTTAACAAATATTGTTAAAAAAATTTTTCTTATAATGCATATATGTTGTTGAAAAAGCAACATTATTAATCGAACTCCGGTCAGAATCGTTTTTTTGTTTGCAATGGTTAATCATTGCGTTCAGATTTACATGAAATTCCCCCTCTGTCTTCTCAACTTCTCACCTACCTACAACAGAGGCTTACGGCCCACCCACGTGCGAAGTATGTCCATTTTTTTTGTTCCTTGTCTCTGAGTATGTACTGTATTGTATTATCGTATTATTATCGTCTGTTATACGCACGCACCGACACTGGTGTTCGATATTGATAAATTTATTTAGCGAACGTGTATATTATATTGTATAATCATATATCGTGTAACGTCTGTATAAATACAAAAATCACGTGCAAAGCATTAATTTCGTATTTTATTTTTGGTGAGAAATAATCCATTCAAGCTGTACACGCAACAAATTCTAATCAGCATTGCACCGGTGTATACCAAATATTATCGAATACACAACCAATGGCGTAATTTGGTAATGTCCGTAGTGGGGAGGGGAGAAATGTTTTTATATTTTACCTATTGACCCCTCTCCACACCAAAAACAAAACCTCATTTATCATAATCATCTTTTAGTGTAATAAATGTATTAGGTACCTACGCATGTGATAATGCGTATAATATTATAGTTTTCATTAATCTAGATAAAATAATATTTGACCAATAGCTGGAATTTTTTTATACCATTACCATAATACAATATATAGGTATATTTGTGCAATACTGCAATAATGGTACCTATGTTGCCCTACTATTGCGAAAGGCAGTATCTACAAAAATATAAACGTCGGGAAAATGGGTGTTCTTCTTTTTGATCTTTTTCGCTTGTTAACAATATTATTCAATGTTTTAATCATTATTTGTTGTTATTTAATTCAGAAATCATTATCGATAATTTTCTTTTTCCAAAATCAAATAATTATAGTTTATACCTTTTTTGTCAAGATTAAGTAGATATCGTATTTGTGACAGTCAACAATTATCACAACTAAAATTAATAATATTTATATTCGAGTATAAACATGTAGATACTGCTTACTGTTGATCAGATAATCTAAGGTTACTAGACACAATATTTATTCCGCTAAATAAATTTACCAAACATAACTATTAACAGTAACTACACAACATATTATACTTTGTTTTTTCTAGAATATATAATTTACTGCTTGTTTCTCTAGTATCCGATTTTGGTAGATACTACACATGTAAAGCTCATTTAGAGAGTCTAAATAATAAACAATAAACAATAGGTACCTATTCTACAATAATCTTATTTATGAAAAATTGTCGGTTACTGCCTTTTACTTTGGCAGGGCAGTGTACAGTTACGTTTATCACGAAATATTTATCCCCTCCCCCTTTCCCACGTAACAACGTCACTTTAAATATTGATAAATGTTATTGATTAGTTAACAATTCGTATATAGCTATAATAATGCATGCAAACTCATTATAAGATGCCCACGACGTTTACTTTACCTATAATGGAGCAACGATTATATCTATGAAGATTCAGATTGAATATTAATACGATTTTTATGCTTTTCAATATTTTCCCCTTATAAACGCACATAATATAGAATATTGAAATGGCAGTTCGTATTTATAAACTGTCCGATTTGAAAATAGACTATTATACTTTTCTAGAAAAATTTTAATATGCATAACACTATAGTTTCAAATCACTACGAACAACGAGACCTGGAAATTTAAACCGGGGTTACTCTGGGAAATTTTATTTTAAAACGGATATTAAATATCTATACGCCCTTCCGGTTTAAATTTTAAATGTATATACAACTCATAAACCTTTTAATAAACATTTTTTTTTTTCGACGTTTTTGAACGTGATTTTAATAACGATAATATGTGCGACCGGAAATAATGAAATAATGTTAACATTTTGAAAATATTGCGAACATGTATTTTCATATAGATATGATCGCCGACTCGTTCTGAAGAGAATCACCCCGTTTGGTTTCAATATGAGGCATAATTGAGGCATTAAGCAGTATCTTTTGTATAAATATCTCAAACACAATCGTATCTCGCATCTAATAAATTATAATAAATTTCAAATAAATAATCACCGCATCTTTTAAGATACCCGCATACGTGAAAAATGTAATTTAATGTTTTGATTTTAATTTATCGATTATGTCTTTACTATGCAAAAAGAGACAAACTGAAAAAAAAAACATGTTTTTTTAAAAATCCATTTAATTCATCTCTAATTATGTACGAAAAAATGTGTCAAATTAATGAAATGTAAATCTAAAATTTAAATTAAAAGAACAAAAAAATAACACATTTTTTTTAATTCGTTTAGTCACTTTTTGCATGACGCAAACAAAATACATAAAATGCGAGTATATCTGTTAATTTTCTAGTTTCTTTCTAATCCCAGTATGTTGTAGATAGGTAATCTACCTATATCATCTATAATATAATAATAATATTACGTATTTTCACGAGGTTTTCGCGTGGGGGACTACGAGCAAAAATAACGTTGAAAACTTTTATCAAAGGCACGCTGTCGACAATAACGACGACAACAAAGCGGATGTAAAGGTCTCTTGCCGTCAACACCCGACGATCAAGAGAGTTATAATATTATTATAACACGTCATCGAAGTATTTATTTTTTTATTCGGATTCGTGTTAGCTTTTTATATTAACTATTACTATTATTGTAACTTTTTTTTATTATTATAAAAATTAAAGTTAAATATAGACTTATAATAATGTAGTACAAGAGAGTAGGTACACGTCATTAGAAAAACATCAAAAACATAAATGTTTAGAGCAGATATTATGGGTAATGCGAGGGTAAAAATAAAAAAAAAAAAAAACACAAAAAATGCAAGTACTGTTTATAATAATTTGTTTTTTATTCAATTTCCCATAAAGCTGTTTTATGTTAAACGTCAACCGTAACTAAGCGATTTAATATTTCGTGAGTAATGTATACTATTACGCGAACCGCTAAATGCCATGCATTATTGGCGTTATTGCATTATTTGTACATAATGTATAATCATGTCATATTATACCCTTGAGCAGCAAAGCTTCATCACTATAGAACTAAATTTTCCTCCGCTTATTATTTCGTATCTAATACATTTTATTTGGAAAACAATAAAACATAATCGATCACGATAACTAGTATTTCTAAAAAGAAAAAAAAAATAGTAAAATCTGAGCATACAAATGGTAAGAACAGGAGTTGAAAGTATGCAACATATACCTACATTAACACACATTTTCATCTCTTAAAATGTGCAATGTGACTATCATAATCGTGCCCAGGTATTTTTGCAGGGGAGGCAATAATTTATGAAGTCAAATCTTACACAAAAATCATAAGCACAAATAGTGCAAACATTTTTGGACTGGACTTAAGCC